CTGCTCGAACTAGCGAGAGAATGCCGTCATTTAATGGCATTCGTTTATGTTTCGACTGCTTATTCTCATCATTACAATCAAACGATCGAGGAGAAATTTTACCCGCCACCGGCCGATTTGAAGCTGATCAAAGATTTGATACGTGCTGACGAAGAGAACGCAGCTGGAGTTACCGAGGAAGTGGTTCAAAGCATGGTAGACAAGTGGATCAATATTTACAGCTTTAGTAAAGCCACCACTGAAGAATTGGTTCGCGATTTTGCTAGAAAAACCTCGTTACCCTGTATCGTCTATCGGCCTTCAATAGGTATGATAAGCGAGTTAACATATTATTCTGAATTTATTTTCATGCGTACCTCTTATTACTAACAAATATTGAAATGCGTTATTACCCAGAAACCCAGAGATATCGACAAGAGCTGTTTTTAACACGAATCATACAGTTACAATATATTTATACTTACTTTTAATTTAATTGTAATCTGTGACACAATCATCGAATTCTTTCGAAATTCGTTAGTTATTCGAGGTAGTCGAAGGTATAATTCCTTTCGCCATTATACTTCTTTATTATTTATGGATTAACATTTCAACATTAATCATATCTATATTTTTAATGTCATAGAATAATAAGGTAAATTTTCGTATAGAATGCATTTATTTAATCAACAGTTATATCGACATACAAGGAACCAATTCCATGGATTGGAAACAAAAATGGTCCAGTAGTATTGATATCAGCAGGCATGAATGGTTACTTATATGTGTTGTATTGGTATGAGCACGTTATTATTGACATGATTCCGGTTGACATGACAATTAATGGCCTTTTGGCAGCGATTTGGGACTTTGTCGTGAATAGGTAATGTATTTTTTTTTTTTTCGTATGTACTGAAATAAATTAAAGTTTACAGCACGTTGCTGCCAAAATGGCACAAAAAGGTCGTAAAATGAATTATCTGTGTAATTTATGTACCGTGACGTACAGATTATGAAAATTAATATTTACTTTTCTGTACAGGAAATCGAATGAACCACAAGTATACAATTATGCAAGTTCCGATTGGAATCCATTAAAAACCTTTGAACTATGTGCACACAGTAGAGACATTGTACATAAGAATCCTTCGGTTAAAGCGGTCTGGTACCCGTTTCTCATTTGTTCTAACAACATTCTCATTTTCCTTCTACTTCATACACTTTGGCATGTTTTACCAAGTTTATTTATCGACTTATTCCGTTTACTTCGGGGAAAGAAACCAGTGTAAATATATTACATTTTTTTTCTACGGATTACAAAAATATTAAGCTCCATTTTAATAGAATTAATGAAATTATTTAAAAACCAACATTAGAAATTAGTTCAATTGTTAATATATTACATATTGACCTATAAAACTTACGTTTATTTTTGCAGACTCACAAGAATATTGGTCAACGTAACAAAAAATTATAGATTACTGTCGTATCTTGCATGCTCCAAGTGGGTTATCAAGGCGGATAAACTCAAAGAAATTCAAAGTAGAATGAACAAAGTCGATTTGGAAGAGTTTCCTTGTGATTTAGGATCAGTGGACTGGTATAAAAGTTTAGAAAAATTTATAGTAGCTTTACGAAAACTGCAGAATGAACCACCGTACGCGAGTAAACCACCGTACTCGAGGCAAAGCGGAAGAATCGAAATTTGATGATATTACATTACACCGTTTGCGGTTTATTTGCACTTTTTGCATTGTACATTTTTTGTACCATAACGAGCAGTTTTATTTCGTTATTATCAGCATAATTAGTACACCGCAGACTCTGTTATTCCGATACCGAATATTACCCTAAGTAATGAAAATTAATTAAAATTTAATTGTATTTATGTATAGAAATTTAATAACTATGCGAATACGATTTAATAACCGTTTGAAGTATACTAAGTAATTTTATTATGTTTTTTTTTAAGATACTCTTTTCGGTAAAGTGATGCCTAATTTATTTATTCATTCCACAATCATTCCACAATCGTTGATTTCTAATGCGTGAAAATGTTAAATAAGAATGGCAGGTGAAGAATTGCAAA